GTGCGTGCCACCACGCCCAGCTAATTTTTTTGTATTTTTAGTAGAGACAGGGTTTCACCATGTTGACCAGGATGGTTTCGATCTCTTCATCTCCTTCTTGGCCTCCCAAAGTGCTGGGATTATAGATATGAGCCACCGCACCCGGCCAGTTTGATTCTTGATAATTATTTTTTTCCTCTTCTAAATTGCCCATGCAATCATAAGTAAAAGAACAAGATCGTCCTGGCACAGTGGCTCACACCTGTAACCTCAGCACTTTGGGAGGCTGAGGCAGGTGGATCACCTGAGGTCGGGAGTTTGAGACCAGGCTGACCAACATGGAGAAACTCCCTCTCTACTAAAAATACAAAATTAGCCAGACGTGGTAGCGCATGCCTGTAGTCCCAGCTACTGGGGAGGCTGAGGCAGGCGAATCACTTGAACCTGGGAGCTGGAGGTTGCGGTGAGCCGAGATCATGCCATTGCACTCCAGCTTGGATTACAAGAGCGAAACTTCGTCTCAAAAAAAAAGAACAAGATCTTGTCTTTTGAGGGAACATAGATACATAGATAGAGCTGAAGGCTATTATCCTTTGCAAACTAACACAGGAACAGAAAACCAAAAGCTGCATGTTCTCACTTATAAGTGGGAGTGAAATGTTAAGAACTCACAAACACAAAGAAGGGAAAAATAGACACTGGGGTCTACTTTAGGGTGGAGGATAGGAGGAGGGAGAGAACAGAAAAAGTAACTATTGGGTACTAGGCTTAACACCTGAGAGGGTGATGAAATGTACGACAAATCCCCATGACATGAGTTTACCTATATAACAAATCTTCACACGTACTGCTGAACCTAAAAGTAAAAAAAAAAAAAAAAAAGAATTACAAAAAATAAAACAAAATTGTCATTAAATTTTTTAAAACACACAGAATTTTGTACTCTCCTAATAAAACATATCTTGCTTTACCTTATAAGTCAGATTTAAAAAAAATTTTTTTTTGATGCAGTGCCACTCTGTCACCCAGGCTGGAGTGCAATGGTGTGATCTTGGCTCACTGCAACCTCTGCCTTTCTGGTTCAAGCAATTTTTGTGCTCCAGTCTCCTGAGTAGCTGGGATTATAGATGCCCGCCACCATTCCTGGCTAATTTTTGTTATTTTTAGTAGAGACGGGGTTTAACCATGTTGCCCAGGCTGGTCTTGAACTCCTGACCTCAGGTGATCCCAAAGTGCTGGGATTACAGGTGTGAGCCACCGTGCCTGGTCTGTAACTCAGATATTTTCATACTTGCCTTATATTCTACCAGATTAGAAATCTTGCAAATCTTGCCTTATTTAGAGAATCTATATCTAAAACCTGGCCAACATGATGAAACCCTGTCTCTACTAAATATACAAAAATTAGCTGGGCATGGTGGCTCATGCCTGTAATCTCAGCTAGTCAGGAAGCTGAGGCAGGAGAATCGCTTGAACCCGGGAGGCAGAGGTTGCAGTGGGCTGAGATCACAGCACTGCACTCCAGTCTGGGCAACAGAGGAAGACTCCATCTCAAATTAAAAAAAAAAAGGATTGGGAGGCTGAGGCAGGTGGATCTCAAGGTCAGGAGTTCAAGACAAGCTTGGCCAACATGCATCCCTGCACTCCAGCCTGGGCAACAAAGCAAGACACTGTCTCAGAAAACCCTCTCTGGGTACCCAAGACCTGAAGGTCTCTACTCAAAGAGCCTGAGCCTCCCACCAGGGCCTAATTGGCCTCTTAACCAAGTCCATACTCCAGGGACAAGCTGTACTGCAAGTATGCACATCCCTAAGCCTAAGGGGTGGCTGATTGTAAGGGGATGCAAATGGAAAGTGGACAGCAGGTGGAAGTGTTAACATAGGTATATACAGTCATTCTTTGAGGGCTGCTGAAGCCAAAGGATAGGGATGGCACAGGGGGTAAGGGGTTAAACGCTTGCCCCTACTGGTTTGCCAAGTAGGATGACAATATGGACTTCCAATGTCAGCCAGAAAAAGCCTTCAGGGAATGACATATGCATATGCTGGGTCAGAAGTCATACTGGAATGTGTTGAAGTGGTAAGAATTAGTGGGCATGCAAGGTGGGCCTGGGGTAAATCCACTTTGATGGTTTCACTGACAATCAGAAATGGGATAGGGTGGGTTGGAGATGGTGATGGAAGTGCTAAGCTAAGTGTTCCTGAATAAAAATTTCCAAATTAAGGACAAGTGCTGATCTGTAATAAAATTTTCTTGATGTACCAAAAAAATAAGAATGGCCAGGAGTGGTGGCTCATGCCTGTAATCCCAGTGCTTTGACAGATCTAGGCAGGAAAATCACTTGAGGCAAGCTCAAAACCAGCCTGGGCAACATAGCAAGAATCCCCCAACCCATGAACCCCGCTTCTACAAAATTTTTCTTACAGAATTAGTTGGGCACGGTGGCACCTGTAGTGGCACACGTAGCTGGGCATGGTGGCATGCTAGGACCTGTAGTGCTAGCTACTCAGGAGGCTGAGGCAGAAGGATCACTTAAACCCAGGAGGTTGAGGCTGCAGTGAGCTGTGATCAGGTCACTGTAGTCCAGCCTGGAGTGAGATCCTGTCGCAAAAACAAACAGAAAACCAAACTTGGATAACTGATAGAGTTTAGAAATTACATGGAAAAGCCAACAAAACAAGGCAATTATTAACTCCAGAAAAAATTAAAAGTTGTGTAGGAAAGGAAAAGTAATTATAGTTTGGTACATAACTTGCCTGTGACTACTGTTTACATGATTATAATAGCATATGTACTGAAGATTAATCAAAATCGGAATATAACTCTCGTGGGGAAAAAAAAAGTTGGGGGTGAATATGGTGTGAGAGTAATGGAGAAAAAGAGCTAAGTCTCCTCTTGTGTCTCAGCACTCCACCCAACGCTGAGCCTCTGGATGGATGAAGGAATGTCCCGCCTCTCCACCACACTCCCCCACACTCCCCCAGGATCTAGCTTCAGCATCAGGTAATTAGGGGCAAAATGAGAAATGCTGACATGCTGGTCTCTTACTGGGAAGAGAGAGGTTCTTGGTTGCAGCAGTCTGGAGTGGAGTCTGTTTTGCTGAACAAAGGGAGAGGTTTGGTTTAAATACCACAGACTGGCATTCTGATGCAAGAGTTTTCATAGATTTTTAAAAACAGATGTTTCTTCATTTGCTGTTTGCCCTTAGGGCCATTTCGGAGGCTTTAAATGGTTAATGGTTGTTTGTTGTTTTAAATAATTTTCAGTTTCACTAGGGGTGAGTCCCGAACTCTTCCTGCCATCCTGGGGTTAGTTTCTCTTGGTATTTGATTCATCACCTTTCCTGTAAGTTTAAAATTATTTCAAGAAAAGTTAAAGCTCTTTAAGAATCACAATAAAGTAGTTATTAGGAATAAATAAAAACGTAGTGGGGCGCGGTGGCTTACGCCTGTAATCCCAGCACTTTGGGAGGCAGGCGTGAGAGAGGATCACTTAAGGCCAGGAGTTGGAGACCAGCCTGGCCAACATGGTGAAACTCCATCTCTACTAAAAAAAAAAAAAAAAAATTAGCCGCGCTTGGTGGCCTGCACCTGTGGTCCCAGCTACTCGGGAGGCTGAGGTGGCTAGATGGCTTGAGCGCGGGAAGTCGAGGCTGCAGTGAGCCGTGATGGCTCCACTGCCCTCTAGCCTGGGCGACAGAGCGAGACCCTGTCTCAAGAAGAAAAACAAGAAAACCACACACACACACACACACACGCGCGCGCGCAAAACACCAAAAAACAAAAAAACTACAAAGCTCGTTCAAGTCTGCTATGACTCCCAGACATCAATCATAAACACTCGCAGCGTTTACGCGTAACGCGTGCAATTTGTGTCGACATCCGCGGTTGCCGAATACACAAGCCACAGCAAGAAACAGCCAGCCGGCGGCCTCACAGACGACTCAAAAGGACTCCCGGGGATAGGGGGGGTGGGGACTCGGTCTAACACAGTGAGTGCCGGCGATTGGACTTTTGTCCAGTAACAGCTGAGACAAAGTCCAGGGCTATCCAAGGACCACGGGAGGGGGTGGGGCGTGGAAGGGAAACGCCACGAACAGCTATCGCCCAGCAGCACCAAGTCCGCTTCCAGGCTTTCGGTTTCTTTGCCTCCATCTTGCGTGCGCCTGCCGGGAGTCTGACGGAGCGAAGGCTGAGGTGGCAGCGGCAGGAGAGTCCGGCCGCGACAGGACGGTACGTGTCCCGCGCTCGACCCCGCGCCGCAGGCGCGGGAGCTGTGCCACATCCAGAACCCAGACTCCTGGCTCTGCCTCAGCGTTGCAGCAGGCCCAGCGCCGCCGCGCGTCTTGGTCCCACCCCTGGCAGTTCCTCACAGCCCCACGCTCCGGGAAACCGCAGGTGGTTTCTCGTAGTGGCCAGGAGAATAGGGGGGGCTTCTCGAACCGACTGAGGTTTGTTTTTTTTTTTTTTTTGAGAGGGAATCTCGCCCTGTCGCCCAGGCTGGAGATCAATGATGCGATCTCGGCTCACTGCAACCTCCGCTTCCCGAATTCAAGCGATTGTCCTGCCTCGAGTACCTGGCGCGCTACCACACCCGGAAAATTTTTTGTATCTTTAGTAGAGACGGGGTTTCACTATGTTGGCCAGGGTGGTCCCGAATTCCTGACCTCGTGATCCGCCCGCCTCGGCCTCCCAGAGTGCTGGGATTACAGGCGTGAGCCACCGCGCCCTGCCAGCCTGAGTCACTTTTGTAGATTGCTTATCTGTTTACTGCGGGCACAGCGCTGGGCGGAACGCCCCCTCTTCCGCTTCCGCCCCGCTCGGAGCCGCGTCACCCCTGCTACACGCAACGGCGCCCCGGATTCCCAGAAACGGGCGATCTGGGCCATTGAGGTCCTAGCTGCACGCCGACTGACCAGATCCACCGGAAATAACCCTTGGCCAACTCTGGCCACCCCCTGCAGCCGCAGCCCCAGAGGCCACTCGCGAGCTTCGGTGGCGGCTCCTCAGCGTCGTGTAAACTTTGCTTTAGATGATCTTAAGAGTTCAGTTCTTGGGGTGAACTGTTGAGAAGATTGGCCGTTTTCTTTTCAAAAGTTGTTGAGAATGTGGACTTTCCCAAAGGTTGTGTGTGCGCGCGCTCGACCTCACCCAGGGGGAGCCGCCGCCCGGGCGGGAATTTCACAGTAGCGTGGTCAGGGCAGTTATTTTCCAGAGCAGTTTAATGTCTATTTTGCCCAATTGCAAGGAAAGCTTACCTTGGAAAAGCTGAGAATGTTTGACTGATGAAGTTTTTAGAGCCATAAAATGAACCTGTTTCTGCCACTCTTCCACCCCTTCAAAAGGACTGGGAAATGTAAAATGGCTTCAGGATGTTCTTGCTTGAGGGTGTCCGGATTTGGACAGAAGGCCACTTTCTTTTAATATTAGCAGTGCCACACAATAGAAGAACAAAGACCACTGAAATTCAGAATCAGTTTTTGGCTCCATGGAGCAGGAAGTAAATTCAAGGACGCCAGAGATTATGCGAATATTTTAATTGGTTGACATTTGAAATTTGTTCTTAAGCGAGTGAACCCAATAGGGGGATAGCGTATGAAAAGCTTTTAGGACAACGGCAGACGGCGATAATCTAGAACTGAGAGGGGCCTCTGAAAGGTTTGACCTGCTTTAGATAGAGATTTCAGATAAGAGGAACGGAGTTTTGACCCTTTTAGGTTGGTGGTTCCCCTAAATAACCTTACAAAAGTTTCGCTGAACGAAAAAAACTTGGCTCAACTCCAAGATCTAAACAAAAAACACTGGGTTGAAAAGGGAATTTTGAATGTTTACCGTTTGCTTTATATAAATTTTCTTGTTTTGTTAATACTTGTTTTACTTACAGTTTTTGGGTTACATGTCCTGGTTAAAACCTTTCTTTAGCGACTTGGTTTTACGTTTCGGTTTGTAACTGACATTTGACCTTCTTTTAACGCAGTATTACTTGCTTCCTTATACCGGTTTCCCAGGTGAAACCATTTGCAGGGTCTTGGGTTTCCCCCTCCCCCCGAAAGTCTTGCGCGACCCAGGGTGGGCAGAATAGCATGCAGTTTTTCGAGTCTTGGTTAGGGGCTTCCAGGAAGCTGAAGCGGAAATTGCCTAGGCCCCTGGGGCGTCGGAGGTCCTACCGCAGCTCCCCGTTGGTGGTGGGGGCACTGCGGCGGTACCTACTCAGTCCTGGTGGGACCGCACTTAGCTTTCCTGAGCTATGCATAAGCCGTTTGACCACCCAGAGACGCGTGTGGGCCTGTGCAGTTTCAGCTGCACGGGGGCGGGGAATTCTGTAGACAGGATTCGAGAATTCACGTCTTCTGTGATAACGTGTCACCGGTGGGCGCCGTGGATTAGGTGCGAAGGCGCTCACAGGCAGAAGTTTTGGACTCCCGCCGGCGAGGCCACCTGTTGATGCATTTGATTTCTGTCCCTGTTCCTTGTCCCATCTGGAGCATTTCCAATTCCAGTTTTGTGGAGCGGCAGGTCGGAGCTTGTCCGGCGAGGGTGGGAGTTGGTTCCGGCGGAGATCCCGTAGGAAGAGCCGGCTCCTTGCCCGGGCGTGAGTAGACCGAGAATCCTGCCTGACCCCCACCCCTGGGCTGTTGTTGCTCTGGGCTCCTGGGACGTCTGGGCACTGTCCCCCATACCGGCAGAAAAGGATTGAGTCCTCGCTTCCGGCCCTAGGTCGAGGCTCTGGAGCACTCACAACACTCAGAGGCGTGTTGCTCTTTCAAATACCAGGCATGGACTCTGGGGACTCTTGGAGTCTGGTTATTTCTTCCCTGTAGAGCCCCAGGGGCTAATTAAACTCATGTTTATGGACTGCAATGCCTCTTTGCCTTTAATTCAGTATAATCCCACCAACATTTATTGAGTTTATCTGGGCCAGGCAGAGTTCTGGGTGCCGAGGACATAGAAATGGATCTAAACTTGCTTCTTGTCCCCATAATCCCAAAATATGGTTGAGGAGGACTCAGAAAAGTTACCTGCACAGGTCACTTCAAGTCAAGACAGTTTGGACAAGAGCAACTGACAGCCTGACTGGAGGAAGCCTGTGGGCCAGGGTAGGGCCGTTATGATAACGTGGGCTCTTTTTGTTTGTTTTGTCTTTTTAATTTTTTTTTTAGACAGAGTCTCACTCTGTCACCAGGCTGGAGTACAGTGGCGCGATCTCGGCTCACTGCAACCTCCGACTCCTGGGTTCAAGTGATTCTCCTCTTTAATGCATGTTTTTAGCCACTGATATGTAATAATGGTTGGTAACATCCCAAGTTGGGATGCATATAGGCTTTAACCTCAGTTCATGATCTTCTAGACTATGTTTGAGTATGTATCTACAGTTATTACAGAAATCAGGGACCACAAGATGATTTATTATTACACATCCTTATTTAAATATTTTGAAGGGGGCATAAAATGACATTTCATGCACTATCTTAGGTTTAAAATGCCCACAGATGGGGCAGGAAAAATGGGGTCATCATATTATCTGTTTGAATTGCAATACAAACAGCCAACATCCATAGGTTCTGCACACCAATGGAGGAGGAAGGTGAATTATGTTCAGGATGAATGTACAAAACTTCTGGGAGATGGCCATATTCTACCTTACCCAGAATTGTGCAACTCTTCTTTTAGAAACTTCTGGGTGACACTTTGAAGTGTTTCATGTTCATATCACCACTGGGGCTTCCCAGACGCCTGAAAGTCCCAGGTATGCATGCTACTTTCTGCAGCTGGCAAGATAGGTTCCTCCATTGCTGCTCAGTTTTGTGGGTTGCTAAGAAATGACATTTGCATTTAATGAGCCATGGCTCATTGGACATGACATGTTTTGTGCCATACTATGACCTTGCTTCAGATAGAGAAGCAGTGCAAAGAAGGGAATGTTAAGTATGTCCTTGGGTGGCTTAGCTGGTCATGCTGGATGCTTTGCTACTGATTACAAGGAACATTATGTGCTTTTGTTACCAGATAGTTTGGAGGCAGCGTTGTGTTCTGTGAGAAAGGTTGAGAAGCCTGACTAAACTTAACTGATTTGCTGACACCTGGTTAGGGCTAAGGCTGGGTACCAGCGAGGTGTGTTAAGTGCTTTAATAGAGATATTTTGTTTTGTGTTGTTTTTCGAGATGGAGTTTCACTCTTGTTGCTCAGGCTGGAGTGCAGTGGCGAAATCTCGGCTCATTGCAACCTCCACCTCCCAGGCTCAAGAGATTCTTGTGCCTCAGCCCCCTGAGTAGCTGGAATTACAAGCATGCGCCACAATGCCCAGCTAGTTTTTGTATTTTTTTAGTAGAGACAGGGTTTTGCCATGTTGACCAGGCTGGTCTTGAACTCCTGGCCTCAAGTGATCCGCTCGCTTTGGCCTCCCAAAGTGCTGGGAATACAGGTGTGAACCACTGCCCCTGGCCAGTTCAAGCATGAACTTTAGAAAGTTCGCTTAGGTAGAAGGTAGATTTGGAGAGCGTAAGGTCAGAAGCAGGGGGAACAGAAAGACCAAAGGAACGAGTCTGGATGAGAGATTGATGGTAGGGAACACCAGCACTTAAGGCACAGGTGCAGAAAGAGAATGCTGAAGAGTAGGAGGAAGTTAGAGAGGGTCTGTGTAGGATATAGCAGTGTGAGCTCAGCCAAGGGAGAAGAGTTTCAAGGAGGGATTAATTAGCAGTGTCAGCTGGAGTTGAGCAGTCAGATGAAAGAGGTCTTCTAAGTTTTTGGATGTGGCAACTAGGTCACCAGGCCTCAACAAGAGCTGTGTCATCAGGGCTGGGATACCAGTGGGGGCAAGTGGGGCACTCGCTTTGGGTTCATTTAAGGGGGTGGTCAAAAAGTCAGTAATCAAGATAGGTAATATTTTAATGCAATTTTTTTTTTTTTCTTTTTTTGAGACAGAGCCTCACTCTGTTGCCAGGTGCCAGGCTGGAGTGCGGTGTCAAGATCTTGGCTCACTGCAACCTCTGCCTCCTGGGTTCAAGCAATTCTCCTGCCTCAGCCTCCCAGGTAGCTGGGACTACAGGCGTGGACCACCATGCCCAGCTAATTTTTGTATTTTAGTAGAAAGGGGGTTTCACCATATTGGCCAGGGTGGTCTTGATCTCTTGACCTTGTGATCCACCCGCCTCGGCCTCCCAAAGTGCTGGGATTATTTAATGCAATATTTTAAAAAATAGACATAAATGCCAAAAAAGCTATAATGAACAAAATATCAACATTTTAAAGAAAGACAGCATCAGTATTACTGATTGTCCCTTTTGCCTCAGATTCCAGTATGGCTCAGGACTGAGTGTCGCTGTGTAGTGGAGGTGGTGGGATGAGGGGATCCAGGTGGAGGCATATTGAGGAGTGAATTGTGGGTGAACAAACTGAAGCACTGAGTACAGACTGTTTCTTCACAAGGTCCCTGCTTTATGTGAAAGGGAATAAAGTGAAAGGATGAGGTCTAGAGGACCCTCCGTCTTTTATGAGGGTTTTGGTTTTATTTATTTTTTAAGATGGAAGAGACTTGTACATGTTTATGAGCTGTGAGGAGCTGTCTCTGGAGGCAGGGAGAGGATGATGAGAGTAGACATAGGGGCTTAGTAGAGACAGGAGGGAGGCTTAGCCCTAGGCAAGCAGAGGGACAGGAGGAACCGGCTGGGGCAGTGGAAAGGTGGAAGGTGGCAGGAGCTTGTGCCTAATACACTTATGAGAAATGGCACTGGGGGTGGTATTGGGATGGAAGAGAGTGGTGGACGTTGGAGCACTTCTTGAAGGGTGTGGGAAAGGAGCTGACCAGGGTCTTCTTGTAAATGAAACTGCTGAGCAGCCAGTAGGGGCCCAGCTCAGGAAACTGCCAGGGTGTGGTGGTAAGATTATGGTATCTCTTTTCTCTTCCTTCAGAACTACATGCTACTCGAGGTGTAGGAGTGGTGGAAGCTCACTCTGTCTGAGGCAGGGGTGCTGAAGTGATCAACCATCCCTGTTTTCCTGGCACTGAGGGGTTTCCTGGGACTTGGTAACCCTAGATGTTGCAGGGCTGGCAGTCAGGAGGCAAAAAGGCGAGAGTTGAAAGTGCTGGCCAGAGTTTGCAGCATGTGCCTCCTGGGTTTTCACTGTCAGAGGGTCTTTGAGCTCAGTTCTAGTGGCAGCCTCCTGATCCTCACTTTCCTAGCTGAGGCAAGGTCGTTGCAGTATTCCCAGGAGTCTTTGTTAGAATCCCACACCCCAGGGCCTCTTCCTCCAGCCCTTCCAGCAGTTTTCTTAGTACCAGTATTAAGTGTAATTTCTACAAAAAACGCCTGGAGTATTTCTGTTTCCAGAATTGGATGCTCCTGTTAGCTAGTGTGTGAAAGATAACTCTGACTTGCCTAAGCTTTGTTGTCATTTTGAATAATAATTGGCAATGGTCTCATGACTTCGGCAAGAGAAATGAAACAGAAATTGGTCTCAGGTTTTCGTTGCTGTTGTCGTGAAGGTCAGGGACAGTTTGTACCAGGGTGTGGGTGTGGAAAAGAAGGGGAGATATAGTCATTAAATTAGAATATGCTGTGAGGGGAGTTAAGGGGAATTCCTTTAAAATTCTAGAAAACACACACAGTTGCCAATTTTGTCTGGCTAGGGAAAGTGAACTGCTGAAAACAACAGAGGGAGAAATGAAATTAATGGAATCTTGATCAGTCAGGAGGATTGGATATTTGAAAGCAGGGAAGAAAAATAATTAGGCTTGGATATTCCTTTTGCCCTTCGTCTGAGTAAGGTGATGGCAAATGTCTCTTCAGAAGAATTGAATGGGACACTGAGTCTGGCATCTCAGGCAGGGTGTGGTGGGAAACTGAGCACAAGTCCTTTTACTGGGCTCTAAATAACACATTCATCTGGGTGTGGTGGCTCAAACACCTGTAATCTCAGCATTTTGGGAGGCTGAGGCAGGAGAATCGCTTGAGCCCAGGAATTCAAGACCAGCCTAAGCAACACAGTGGGACCCTTTTTTTTTTTTTTTTTTTACAAAAAACTGAAGACCTTGTGAGCTTCCCTAGTCTAAGAGTAATTTGGCTTAGGCTTAAAAGAAACCCCAATAAAGTGATGATAATTTGGACCCCAGCCCTACCTCTCCCTAGTATGCTTTCCTTTCTCAAATGCCCACCACCTCTAGCCACAGTGAACTGCCCCCAACATCACCCCAGCGCGCGCGTGCGCGTGCACGCACACACACACACACACACACACACACACACACACTGATATTCTGTTGCATCTGAGTGGGCTGGCTCCACACGGGATCTGTAGTTTCCTTTTGATATTTTCTCTCAATGTGCCAGATGCTACCACTGAGTAATCTAGAATTTGCTGCCAAACTCTACCTCCGTTAGCACAGTGGGAAAAATATGCCAGTGCTCTTGCTGAGTGTGTGTGACTGGCAGAAAGCAGTCATGGGTGTGATGGTTGGAAGAAACAAACTGAGCAGATAATGTTTTTTAAAATGATTATCTAATTTTGTTAACTCTTGGCATATTGTTGGTATTTAGGAATTACAAAAGTTAGATGACTGTTAAAGTAGAGAATTAAGCATTTCATTTCTAGTAGTTCTGTTTGGTTTTTTTTCAAACATGTTAGTGAATTTGTATAATATCTCATTTCTTACTCTTTTGTTTAATGATTTTATTTTTGTGTCTATTTTATTTCTTCAGGGCATATACTTTTTAAAATTTTATTTATTTATTTATTTATTTTGAGATGGAGTCTCGCTCTGTTACCAGGCTGGAGTGCAATGGTGCCATCTCAGCTCACTGCAACCTCCGCCTCCTGGATTCAAGCGATTCTCCTGCCTCAGCCTCCTGAATAGCTGGGATTACGGGTGCGCGCCACCATGCCCAGCTAAGTTTTGTATTTTTAGTAGAGATGGGGTTTCACCATGTTGGCCAGGTTGATCTTGATATCTTGACCTTGTGATCTGCCTGCCCAGGCCTCCCAAAGTACTGGGATTACAGGAGTGAGTCACCGTGCCCAGCCTGTGTATATAAATATTTTATAGTTTAATTTATAATAACAACTGTTGACAAAATTGTGACTACTAGTGAATATAATAGAAATTATCTTGACCTCCTTTTCAGGGAAGCTGATGGTGAGATTAAAGCACTGCTGGCTTGCGAGTATAGATTTGGGCTTTCCAGAACACATAAAAGTAGCATTTATCTTTCTGATTAAAAAAAATGTAAAATAGTCTGAGCACCAGTTTTTCCACTTTCATTGAGCAAATTTAATTTTAGTATATTTAACTTAGCAAATTTAATTTCTCCAGTTATTTACAAATAGTCATATTTAAGTGAAGTTTGAATGAATGGGCACACCCATTTCAAATTTCTAACCTATTTTTTTCCCCTTGTTCTCATATAAAACTTTTCTATTTAAGTGTTTTTATTTTAAGATACTTCATATCTTTTGTGGACTGATACTGTATGTAAATAAATAAATGGATTCAGTACTTTTTTCACTAAATACAGCTAGATAAATACATAAATATATTTGTACACAAATACAAAGCAACCATTAGCAATTTAGGGTTGGGGAGTGTTTCCACTTATTTTTTGTTAATAAATTTGATTGTAACCTAAAATATTGCCTTATAGGAACAGATAAAGAACACAAGAGCTGATTTAATGTAATTTTTCGCTATGAAACTTAGATAGGTTAGCAACTTAAATTTTGAAAAAAAATATGAGTTCCAATGGAAAGAGTTAAGAACACACCCATGTTGTACTGAAAAATGAAGAAAAGAAAAAAGATGAATAAATTAGTTTTTAAAAATAAGAACACACCCATGGCATGAGCTCCTTACCCCTCTCACCCAGCCCCATCCCAGGAGTGAGACCTTCCCCTAGATCCTCTATAACTTCTGATGTTCCACTGAGAACATCAGAAGCACTGATGGTAATTGCTGCCATGTAGCAGTGCATTGAGAGTCAGGTCCTCTGGCACCTACATGGGGCTCAGGGTCTGAAGATGGGATCCAAACCTGACAACTTGGTGGCAGGTCCTGTGAGCATTCATGATGAAGTTGTGAAAAGGGCTTGGGGTCTAGGAGGATGGTAGCAGAGGTTTCTGCTTCCAGGTGTGAGTGAAGGGCTGTAGAAGAGCAACTAGGAATGAAGGAGTGGCATATGGACAGAAACTTTTCTCCACTGTTTGTTAAAGGCCACGTGGGTGGAGTCATTGAAGCGGAAGTTTCGCCCGGTGACACAAGTTTCCCTCGTTTAGTCATTGGGCTTTTCCCTCTTCCTCCTACCTCTTAGTTGTAATTTTTTACAACTGAGTAAACCTCTTAGTTTAATTTTTTCTGTAACATGCTTTACAACTTGATGAATTCTGAAAAAAGCATGTGGAGTTTCCTTTGAGATGATTTCATATGTTGCTTCATTTCCTTTACAATGTAGGTTTTCTTCTCTATCTTTTGGTTTTTGGATTAGTCTGAGTGTTTGGCCCTGTCTACCAAGGATCCCTTAATATAGACTTAACAATGTGACCTTAATCTACTTAGGTCAGGGAGACCAGCAAGAAAAGAAGAGCCCATACTTTCAATCTTAGGCATAACTTAGCTTGATAAAATTTTCAAAAAAATTCCCTTTTAACCACAGAACTCCTCCACTGGAAAGGATTCTGAAAGAAATGAAGTCATCCCTCAGAAATGAAGTTGACTACCTCCTGGCTTTCTGTTGACTGGCCTGGAGCTGTACTCCTGTAGACCCTTGTGAGCTCTCCTAGCCTAAGAGTAGGATGTCTGCTGAGGTCATCCATCAGGTTGAAGAAGCACTTGACACAGATGAGAAGGAGATGCTGCTCTTTTTGTGCCGGGATGTTGCTATAGATGTGGTTCCACCTAATGTCAGGGACCTTCTGGATATTTTACGTGAAAGAGGTAAGCTGTCTCTCGTGAGCTTGGCTGAACTGCTCTACAGAGTGAGGCGATTTGACCTGCTCAAGCGGATCTTGAAAATGGACAGAAAAGCCGTGGAGGAACACCTGCTCAGGCACCCACACCTTATTTCGGACTACAGGTAATTCATCAACTCTTCCTGAGGCTGGATGGGTGGGAGGGAGTGAAGTATCTCAGACTTTACTGAATGGCAGAAACGAGAACACTAAGAAGTTCAGCCACTTTAATTTCTCTGCCCACTTATCCAACTGCCAGATGATGTCACTTCATTCCTGTGAACCCTTTAAATTCTTGAAACTTGCTTTCTTGTTTTTTTTCTTGAGACATCTGTTGCCCAGGCTTGAGTGCAGTGGTGCGTCTTGGCACACTGCAACCTCTGCCTCCCGGGTTCAGGCGATTCTCCTGCCTCAGCCTCCCAAGTAGCTGGGACTACAGGTGCATGCCACCACAGCGGGCTGTTTGTGTGTGTGTGTATGTGTGTGTATTTTTACTAGAGACAGGGTTTCACAATATTGGCCAGGCTGATCTTGAACTCCTGACCTCAAGTGATCCGGCTGCCTTGGCTTCCTAAAAAGCTGAGATTACAGGCATGAGCCACTGCCCCCAGCTGAAATATGCTTTCTCAAAGGAATTGGGATCATATGCAGGTAGAAGGGACAGGACAGATGATATGTGTTTGCCTGAAGGATAGAATGACAAGACATGAAGAAAGATAGGAACGATTAAAAGCTGGTCATTCTTGCCAGCCTCTGACAGTGTGAGATCTGCAGACCAGGTGCGGTGGCTCACGCCTGTAATCCCAGCACTTTGGGAGGCTGAGGCACAAGGATTACCTGAGTTTGAGACCAGTCTGGCCAACATAGTGAAACCCTGTCTCTACTAAAAATACAAAAATAATTAGCTGGGTGTGATGTCATGTGCCTGTAATCCCAGCTACTCGGGAGGCTGAGGCAGGGGAATTGCTTGAACCCAGGAGGTGGAGGTTGCAGTGAACCGAGATTGTGCCGTTGCACTCCAGCTTGGGTAACAGAGTGTGACTCCGTTTCAGAAAAAAAAAATTTCTGTGAAGTCAGTCTTTGGTAATTTCTGGTACAAAGAAAGGAAATGACAAGTCTGACAGTGGTCTTCCTACCTTTGTAGAAACTCCATCATCCTTTCTGAATCCCCATTGGCCCTTCCCCTGCTGAGGAAGTTTATCAGGGTGGGCTGCCTTCCTGCGCTGCTGGAGAGCCTGAATTGAAAAATCTCCTCAGTTAACCAATCTAAGCCCCTTCAGTTCAAAGAGGAAATGGCTACTGGAGTCCTCTTTAGTTCTGACAGTCTTTGGGTTGCTCCTTCGTCTTGCTCATACGTTAATGTCTTTAGAGGTTCAGAGGGGCAGGGAAGCTACTGAGAAAGGAAGATAACTTGTAACCTTAAGTTGATGTTTTCTTTTCTTTTTTTTTTTTTTGAGCAAAGTCTCGCCCTGTAGCCCAGACTGGAGTGCAGTGGTGCGATCTTGGCTCACTGTAACCTCTGCCTCTGGGTTTCAAGTGATTCTCCTGCTTCAGCCTGAGTAGCTGGGATTATAGGCGTGTGTCACTATGCCCAGCTAATTTTTGTATTTTTAGTAGAAACGGGGTTTCGCTGTATTGGCCAGGCTGGTCTTGAACTCCCAGCCTCAAGTGATCTGTGCTCCTTGGCCTCTCAAAGTGCTGCAATTATAGGCCTGAGCCATTGTGCCTAGCCGGTGTTTTTTCTCTCCACCACCAGCCTTTTATTATGTTGATAATGTCTATTTGGAGATGATATGTATTATCAAGAACTATACTAAAGAGAGCTGAAAGCAGTGTGGACTTTGGAAAGTATATGAGATTTGAAGTTGGTATAAGCCTGTTTCTTTTCTTTTTCTTTCCTTTTTTTTTTTTTTTTTGAGACAGGGTCTTGCTCTGTCACGGAGGCTGGAGTGCAGTGGCGTGATCATAGCTCACTGTAGCTGGAAGACCTGTTTCAAGCCTCAGATCTACAAGTTATGGGTCAGGCAGGCTGGGCCAATCACTAATCTTGTTGGGCCTTTGTTTTCCTACCTGTAAAGTGAAAAATAATAATACCCAACTTTATAAGGTGTAGTGAGCATCAGTTGTGATAATTTACTATGTGAAGTACTTTTTAAACTGTGAAGTATTCTACAGATACAAGGGATTATTATTGTTGTTGTTGTTTTTTATCTTCCACCTATTCAGACATCAGTTTTTTTGTTTGTTTGTTTTTGTTTTTTGTTTTTTTTTAATTGAGATGGAGCGTTGCTCTGTCACCCAGGCTGGAGTGCAGTGGCACGATCTTGGTTTACCACAGCCTCTACCTCCTGGGTTCAAGCGATTCTCCTGCTTCAGCCTCCCAAAGTGCCGAGATTACAGGCATGAGCCACTGAGCTCGGGCCAGCCATCAGTTTGAATGTCTAAACTTCAAACTTTCTGGGAGGCGCCAACTGGGTTTCAGTGAATAGAGTAGGGCAATCACTCCATTTCCCATTTCCTTGCTATGATGAGTGGAGATCCTTAGGCCCTCTGGGAAGAGAGGTGGGGCTATTCAAAGTGAGCGCTAGATTCATTTATTCATCTGGTCGAGTGGGCTTTGTTGCGTATTGGCATGTGCTAGATGTTTTGGTAAGCTCTAGGACAATATGAAAAATCCGCCATCCTCAAAAATCTGAGAGCCTAACTGGGAAAATGTCCTTGATGACAATGTCATGGTAACAATACTAACTACAAGGTGTCCTTAGGCGCTCCAGTAAACTGTGGTTGTTTGTTCTCAACGTCTGCTTCCTGGGGTGAGGGGAGCGGGAAGTATATTGGTAGATCCAGCCACCACTGAGTCAGGAGAAGCTTTCTAGGCAAAAACACCTAAGTTCAGAATCCCTGTGATCTGGATGCCTGTACCCTTTAAGTTCAGAAGTGGGCCAGGATATCCCAGGTGTTTTTTACCTTTAGCATTTTTTTTTTTTTTTGGAGACAGAGTCTCTCTCTGTTGCTCAGGCTGGAGTGCAGTGGTGCAGTCTTGGCTCACTGCAACCTCCGCCTGCCAGGTTCAAGTGATTCTCCTGCCTCAGCCTCCCAAGTAGCTGGGACTACAGGTGCCCATTACCATGCCCAGCTAATTTTTTTCGTATTTTTAGTAGAGACAGGGTTTCACCATGTTGGCCAGGATGGTGTCGATCTCTTTTTTTGTTTTTTTTTTTTTTTTTTTTTTTTTGAGATGGAGTTTCACTCTTGTTACTGAGGCTGGAGTGCAATGGCGCGATCTCAGCTCACCGCAACCTCCGCCTCCTGGGTTCAGGCAATTCTCCTGCCTCAACCTCCTGAGTAGCTGGGATTACAGGCATGCACCACCATGCCCAGCTAATGTTTTGTATTTTTAGTAGAGATGGGGTTTCACCATGTTGACCAGGATGGTCTCGATCTCTTGAGCTCGTGATCCACCCGCCTTGGCCTCCCAAAGTGCTGGGATTACGGGCATGAGGCACCGCTCCAGGCTCCTTTAGCATTTTGCAATTCAAAGTATGGTCCTTGAATCAACATCATCTGAGAGCTTGTTAAACAGAGATGATAAGGCTACTTTGAATTCGATTTCTGTCTTTTATGTTAGTCATTTGGGTTCTTAAGTCATTTCACTATGACTTCTGGTGGGGGCTAGGGGATTCTTTAGGAAAGTTTCCATTAACTGAGTTGTTTTCAGAAGCTGTTAATTGGCAAAGGAGGTACCATCTTCTATTGAAAACGGGCAAGGATGAGTTTTCTTTTTTGAGTTCCCTTAAGATCTCTTCCTGGGGTGATCTAGGCTTGCTGTTTTATGAGAGAGGGACACATTCACCCAGGGGCAAGAACTAATCTTTTAATAAATTATTGGCATAGGGAAGGCATGGGCTCTTGGAGTTGTCTTAGGACTGATGTCTGAATTAACTAAATGAACTTGTTTGGTTTGCAGAGTGCTGATGGCAGAGATCGGTGAGGATTTGGATAAATCTGATGTGTCCTCATTAATTTTCCTCATGAGGGATTACATGGGCCGAGGCAAGATAAACAAGGAGAAGGTGAGTTTTATTCTTTTGGTTCATGGTCCTAAGAGCTTGTGAGAAATGGGAGCTGCTTTTTTTTTGATATATATAGAGAGAAGCAGGCAGTCTGCCACCACTGTAGTGGGAGTCAAGACATCTCAAGTGGTTTTTAAATGATAACATTAATGAGAAGAGAATTGGTTTGTGAATTGAGAAGAAATAGGATAGTATCTCTGGTGTGGCCTTGGATGTTTCTTTCATCCTTTGATTTTATCCTTATTTCTGTAAAATTCATAGGCCTGGCTCATATGTGTTCCCCTCCCTGGTTTGACGGGGGTGTGGGGAGGACATCCCAGCTGCTTGTGCTGGGTAGAAACAGGAAGGAGGTGCTAGTCCACTATTGTATTGTATCACTCCCCTACTGCTGTCTATTTCTCCTCAGCTGACTCAAGGTCAGTGTGTCAGTGTGGGGCCTAGACTGCATGTAGAAGTGGAGTGGGGGGAGGTTCTTGTGACTGATGGATCTGGGAAATGGTAAAATTAGAGATTTGGAGTTGAAAATCAGGTAGTGGCGAAGATCTCGGGGATGTCATGATTGCTAGAAAAATATTTAAAATCCATAGCTGGGTGCAGTGGCTCACACCTCTAATCCCAGCACTTTGGGAGCCCGAGGTGGGTGGATCACCTGAGGTCAGGAGTTCGAGATCAGCCTGGCTAACCTGGTGAAACTCCATCTCTACTAAAAATACAAAAAATTAGCTGGGCATGGTGGTGGGCACCCGTAATCCCAGTTACTTAGGAGGCTGAGGCAGGAGAATCACTTGAATCCAGGAGGTAGAGGTTGTAGTGAGCTGAGACAGTGGCATTGCACTCCAACCTGGATGACAAAGCAAGACTCTGTCTCAAAAAAAAAA